GTAGTGAGGGTCCCCAGCCCTCCTGTCCTCCTGTCAGGGAGCAGCCTCTGTCCAAGCAGCGTTTAACTTGACCTTGCCTCCATGTTAACCCCCCACCACACCCCCCAGCCGCTCTATGCAGCAGCAGGGACAGTGAAGGTGAAATAAAGTCAGCTTTATTGGTGTCTATTTAAACGTCCAGCCCTTCAGCGGCAGCTTACTGCGGAAAACGCAACATAAACAGCAGATCTGGCAAAAAATAAAGCTAATTATCCACATTAATTCACACCGAATGGGGGAAAGCATCCAGGCGGCTGGGATTGCGGAGCTTAATCCAGATTTAATCTGCGTTTTAAGGCGAAAGCAGAGCAGTTGTGTTAAAGCGCAGGTTTCTACCGGGAGGCCTGGCAGCTCCTGCTAGCCTGATGCTAAGCTAACTCACCTCTCCTGACAGCCTCGTCATAAGACAGGAATCCGATCCTCGACTCTTTAGCCCCCATGCCGCCCGGCTCTCTCTGCCATCGGAGGGACAAAGCAGCGACAGTCGGAGCTCTGCCTCCGGGTTCTGGTCAAACGGCTCCTGATGGCGTCTAAGCGGTGAACGGCTCAATGTTTTCAGCGACGCCTCTGTCACGTGACCTCACTCTACAGGTCAGTTGATCGGCGGCCGTAAACAGACGCCAAGTGGTGGAAAAACATTTCATTTCTTCCTCACTGGAGCCACAAAGCTGTTTAATGTCAGATTGTTAAAAAGCTCCAGATGCCATTTTTATTCAGTGTGTCAATAATAAAGCTGTCAGGATGTTTCCAGGTAACAGTAACTGTGTTAGTAGCTCCACCTAGTGGCTGGTTTGGTACATGGCAGGATTCTCACCACGCAGCAGGGGCGGGTCTAGACCACATGGTCCAGGGGCCATGCCACGGGGGGGCAGCGTGTTTTCATGGGGCACAGAAAAACCTGGAGTAAAGAAAAACAGGGCAAGGGATTCAAATATACATTAAAATCGTAGGGAAGTCATATTTAAATATCAAATCATTCTGGCTTAAACATGCATATAAATGTATTATTTATCAAACAGTATTGTCCCAAAATTTAGAAAAAATCTCTTCATAATACAAATGTTCTATTAATTGAAATATATATATATATATATATATATATATATATA